ACGTCGGCAGTTCAAAGCGAGTATGTATCAGCATTAACATCTGTATTGACTGATATTGGTCCTTTTTATTTTTTTTAAATATTGTATCGGGCCAATAAGTAAAACTGAGATGATTTTAACGTCCGATATTGATTTTCCGCTTTTTAGCTTTGTTTCTATTTTGGGAGGGGAAATGGTTGGTTGAGCAGCATCTGTTTGATCATGATAGTGATATTGACTCTGCACCGCCAGTAATAACTGGTAGAAAATCAGCGGTCTGGTCATTTATTTATGGGATCGAAAAAAGACACAAGTGTGTTTGTGTGTAAATAATTTGTGTGTTTGCGTAATATCAGTAAATATTGGTTATCGGCCATAACGGCATTAATTATATCGGATATCGATATTGGCTGAAATTTTCATATCGGTGCATCCTGAATGTTTCCTTCTGCTGTTCTAATTCCTACAAAACGGAAGTACTGTGTAAGTCACCTGCTCTAATAAAGCTGCATCGTGTTTTTTTAAAAAAAAAACCTTCAGAATGTGTTTACCATTTTCAGCATTTGAAAAATTTTCACTAAATATACTTAATATTTTAGTGTTTAAAACTATTATTTCTGCTCCATTTTGAATGATTCAAATGATTTGAATAGATCAATTTCATAACTATAAGTACACAATTTATAAAATTTTTAGATGATTATTTTCTTGTCCATATAAACAAAAATTGTATAAATTAACATTTTTGATAAATATCTGGAAATATAGCAGCAGCACAATAATACTTATGGGGTGCAAACATAAACATGTAAAACTGGCAATCGATTCAGAGGATTTACTTAATCAGTATTGAATTGAAAAGAGAATTTCAATGTGTTGATGAATCTATTTTTTTACCCACTTTTAAAACTGTATGTAATGGTTTGCCTGGTAACACTTCTATTCAGATAAGGGGTTTCTAATAAACTTGGTTATTTTTACTGACTCCAGCCCATGGAGTGAGAGTTTTTGAAGTCAGTGTTGTAGCCTGACGTTGGCTGATTGTTGCTAGTTTGTTTATTTATTGAGAGTTTTTGAAGTCAGTGTTGTAGCCTGACGTTGGCTGATTGTTGCTAGTTTGTTTATTTATTTATTTATTTATTTATTTATTTATTTATTTATTTATTTATTTTTGGTTATTTAGGACATTCTATCTGTGAAAAACATGAGACGGGAGCTGACTGTAACCACTAAGGCCAAATATGACTAAATGTCAGTGTTCCTCAATCCAGTTACCACAAGTCACCACGTCACAGTTCAAAATGTGACCTGTTGTTTCTTGCAGAGTGTCTGGTTTCTGATCCCCAATTATGCTTTCTGTTTGCACTATTTCAATTTATTATTGTTTGAAAACAAGTGCAAAAAATTATTTTGAGAAAAGCATAAGTTTGATTTTTATGTACAGCATTTACCAAAACCCTGTTTTTTTGTTTTGTTTTCTGTTTTGTTTTGTTTTTGTTTTTTTCATTCGTGTGAAAAGATTGCCGCCTCATCTAGACAAATCTTGAACAGAATCAAATATTGAAGAGTTCTTTTCACTCAGTGATCTTTTTGGTTATTCTTATCAGTTTTGTCAGTCCAAGGATTTTATTGTGTGACAGAGTAAACAACATTCTGTTTTATTCTTCTCTTCATTTTCATTTGAGTTGAACGGAATTATTACATAACTTACCACCCATTTGTAAATATGTAAAAGTATCGATACATTTCAGTTAAAAGAAATACATATTTTTTATTATTTTATTTTACCGGGATTTAAAAAAAAGGATTTTTACAGCATACAGTCGGTATACAGGTAGACTTCCAAAGGGGTTGACATGTATTCAAAGTATTTCTGGTGGTATATTACTGATGATGAAATGTATGTAACTTACACATAACAAATAAGTAAAGGCTTTAACCAACAAGAAAACCCTATGCTTCCATTTAAAGAACAAGATGAAGATCAGCTCTGTATTGAACAGATGGAAACATTGTAGCAGTAAAAACACAGTCATGCCTTAATAACGAGGCTCAATCTGTTAAGTCATAATCACAGCTTTTTTTTAAGGGACCAAGTGGTATGTCAGGATTTTACAAACAGGACCAATAATTCATATATACTGAGCATTGAAGGTTTAAAGCCCAGTTTCATGAGTGCAAGAGACAAAGTGCTTTTTCCTCATTTAACGTGATGCAAGTAAAAGCCTGATAATCTTAGAGACAAAATAGTTACACTTATAGTGTGCCTAAGAACTTACCCAATCTTGTTTTGTTACAGATCATTTTAATCCTTTTGACATTCTGTCAGTATAACATCCTATATGTATATTGGTTTGAGCAGGATTTATGAGTTTGTTTTCATTAAGGCTAGATTCATCCTAAATTAAAGGGAAAATCTGAGACCCAATGAAAGTTTAATGAACTTGATAAATCTGAGCAAGGTTAATGTAAAAAAACTAAAATTTGTTGATTCCCAAAGAAAATGTTTTGACAACTTTTGTGTCCTAGAAATTATTTTTATATGAATTTACTGTTTATCACATTTTTATTTAGAACCATTTTTTTTTAGAAATTAGGAATGAAGTTTAAAAAAAAGACAATTTGATTCCTTAATTGGGAGTTTTGCATTCAGTGCAATATCATAGTTGCATAAATTTCAAGTTTTTTATTTTCTTACTGCTGCATACTGGGTTAAGCTTTATTTTATAATTCAGTATGATTGGAGCTAATTGTTTAGTAATACAACAGGGGTACATGCAGTTATAGGACAAGTATTAATTTGTAGGAAACACTTTTAAACATCAGTCATTGATATAGTTTTATTACCAAATGATTGCCTGTAAGTCCAAAGTATGTCGAGCTGATCCCCGTTTTGTTGCCGTTTGGCAGTGTGTGGGTACATGTCCACGGTCAGGATCTGCTCTCTGTTCCTAAGGTTAGCTTTGTGGAACAATCTGGGCTCAGGTCCCAGAGAATAGTGGCATGTCAGCAGTCTGTTGAAATGAACAGGCTGAGGGTAGCACTATGTTAGCAGTGTTACAAGGGGGGAGGGAGAGGGCATTGGGTAGATCTGCTAAAACCAGTGTGTTAGACCAAGCGTGGCTGCACCAAAAGGGCTGGTGCTCCTGGGTAGACTCTGGGTTTGTTGAGTTCAAAAAGGAAAACTAAACAATCTATTCTGTAAATCTGGTGAAACTTCGGCTTTCATCTGTCTTTTCTCATTTTATTGTTGATCTTTTGTAGAAAATGTCAGGCAAAGAGACCGTTTTTCTTAAGTCTCTGAAGTGGGCCTCATAGGCAACAACATGCCAGTCAGTCAAGACTTCACTCAGGGCATAATTATATGTGCTGTAAAGTTTCTGATTGCGTATTTAGACGTAGGTGGTAGTTTAATTGTCCTTGTAGTATAACTCAATGCTACTAGTAATAATGCTTTTGTCTTGATTCAGAAATACTTCAGAACTTTTGTGGGTGAATGCATTCTTTGGAACATGGCTATCGTGGCTTAAAATAAAATAAGTATGTGTACTCTCATACAGTATAGTAAAGATTTGGATCTTTGTTCTGTTCGATGCCCCAGTTGTGGCCAAGGTTAAGCTGTCAGACTTGCATTTGATTCTAAAATACTTTGGTATAGTAGGACTAAGTGATATGGCTGAAAAATGTATCATGATATAAGCATTTCATATCAGTCAATATAATTATTGATTTTAGTTTTTTATTTTACCTGTTTAAATGTAGCCTGGCCCTTGCCTTCCTATGCAGCTCCGCTCAATTCTCTGTGACTTCTCCCACTGAGATGGATTTCACTGGCAGAGTTTTAGCCGGGCCAATCAGAGAACAGAACGTCAATTTTCTGCGCAGTGTCTGCTTGTAGTTTATTTTACCTGGGCCAATCAGAGAACAGAACGTCAATTTTCTGCGCAGTGTCTGCTTGTAGTTCATTTTACCTGGGCCAATCAGAGAACAGAAGGCCAAGTTTTGAATGATGTCGATGTTCTGCGTAGTGTCTGCTGGTTAGTTTAGCATACAGAAGTGGAGGAAGAGAATGAAGCCAGTCTGTGTTGATAAGGCTTCCAAATTAAATTAAATTTGTCTGACAAAGCAGCAGCTCTCATTTACAGCCGTCTCGTTCAGCTCGGTACTTTTCTCCTCTCAGTAGGGTTGTTTACAGCACATGCGACTTCCGGTTAGCTTCTTAGCTTAGCCTCCGTCACAGCGACAACACATACATGCTTCAGCAGAGGCCACGCCTCCTGCATGAAACGCTTGTCTATGCATCAAGTCTAGACCCTAGTACGAAGCAAAGTGAAGGACAGGGTCTGGTTTTTACCAGGCTAGTTTAAATGAGGACCAGGAGTTTACCTATTAAAATAAGGACCAGGAGTAAAAAGGCTAAGTAATACTGCCAAACTGGTGGTTTGATCTTTTCCTCTTTCATCCACAATTTTCTCTCGAGCTGTTGGTCATTTTCTCCTTTCACTCTGTCATTCTTTTTTTTAAAGCAGTTATGAGGCATGGTGGCCAAACATGAAACTGCTACTGTACACATTACTCAACAGGTTGTTGCTTTCTTACCAAAGAGTTAATTAGTTGATGTCACCAACCTTGCTTAGCTGGGCTGTAAGAGGTTGAGGAATAGCCTTTCCTTTCCCTACATCCCCCAGAATGCCATGCAGTTCTGGATCAGAGATCAATGAAATTATCAACATTCTCATGATATTGATCATGTGTCCATCAAGATCAATTGGTATTGTTTTATACAGAAGAGTTCATAGTTGACTCAAAATTTTGCAAAAGACACAGGTCCTCTAATTAAAATCTTATCTTATTAGCTCATCACCCCTCCACCCTCACCGTCTAACCATTGGTTTTGTTTGTCTCAGTTTTGATTGTTTTATTTGATAATCAGTTTCTTGGAAATGTACAAAAATTTTGCCTTACTAAAATGTTTTATTTTCTTTTTGTAAAAATTTCTTTTTATGTTCCTGTCATTGCAGGTCCTGTCCTCCCAGCCCTTCATTAGATTTGATGGAAACCAAGGGGTAAGAACACAATCTCACTATTTTATTTGTGACATTATCTATGTGGGGGGAAACAGTTTTTACCAAACAGTATTACCCCAGATATCTTACTGGTTAACTTGAATGAATAATCGTTTAATACAGCGGGTAAAATAAGTATTGAACACGTCAACATTTTTCTCAATAAATATATTACTAGAGGTGCTAATGACATGAAATTTTCACTAGATGTTGGTAGAAACCCAAGTGATCCATACATACAAAGAAATCAAACCATAAATGTCCAGAAATGAAGTTATTTGTAATAATGTGGTGACACCAGCTGAACTCTCTCAGTAATTAGAAAGCAAGCCTGCCCCTTGTCAGTGCAAGTT